GCCCACGGCCTCATCCCTGCTCTGCCCCCTGCACCCGCCCACGGCCTTGTGTCTCCTCTGCCCCCTGCACCTGCCCACAGCCTTGTGTCTCCTCTGCCCCCTGCACCTGCCCACGGCCACTGCAGTGTGGATGCCGGAAGCTTCCTTGAGCCCCCTGGGGTCTGACCTGAGCCGCCCGGCCCCTCTGTCACGCGCTCGCCAACCCTGCCCTCTGCCTGTGTGTTTTCCCTCTGAGCCCCTCTGTGTCCCTGCCTCGGGGCCTTCGTGCAGGCTGTCCCCTTGCCCACCTGCCTTGATGGAGCGCTGCTGTCTCCCCCTCCCTCACTGCCGGGGTCTTCTCCTCCCCCCAACTGCAGAGTCTCAGGAGAGTGTCTGTGAGGCCACGCTGCCCAGCCAGCGTGAGTGTGGACACTCGCGTGTCAGCAGAGACCCCTCAGGATGTATGCGTGTCCACAGCTGCAGGCTCCCCAGGCTGTGTCCCCGCTCCAGGGCAGCCACGGGCACCTGCAGATGCTACCAGGTCGGCTCCTTGCTCTTTTGCCCTGAGAGCCAGCTCATCGGCAGACCCATGTGCTCTGTGTGTGATCTGTGTGTGAGTCTCCGTCGGCTGCGGGTGCTGCCCAGTGCAGGTGACCGTGTGTGGCCCAGCAGCCTGCCTCATTAGGACCCCGTGTCAGGGGAGAGGCTCGCGTGGGTCTCTGCATTCAGCCCCAGCCTCTCCTCTTCTGCTTGTCACCTGTGACCTCAGCTGTCCCTGGGAGACGTGGCCATGTCCTGGACGGAGCTGGAATAATCGCGGGTCTGTGCCTCTGCAGAGAGACACGTCCCCGCCTTGGGAGAAGACGACCTTGGCTGGACCCTGCCGGTGTCAGCAGGTGACCGCCTGTCCCTGAGCGAAGCTGCTGCTCAGTGAGCTGGCGAGAGGCAGGCAGGAGGTGTGCGGATCCGAAACAGCCCGCCAGCTGCTGTCTGTGCAGGTGCCTGCTGCCGGCTCCCCGGCTGGCCGCTGCCTGGGCCAGTCCTCCGAGCAGGGACAGCTTCCAGGCCGCTGTGGGACCTTGGTCCCTTGGAGTTAAGGTCACATGTTCTAGAGCAGGACCAGGAAGAAGAAAGGAGCCACGAGATAGACGTGGAGTGAGGGACAGGACTGGGGCAGGCAAGAGAGGCCCCCGTGCTGATGTGACAGCCCCCGGCGGCCAGGCGGCGTGCGTGGGGCTGGAACAGGAGAGCAGGAGGCAGGGCGTGGGGAGGGCCCTGCTCTGCCCACAGCTCACGGTGCCCCTTGCTGCTGAGCTGGGGCAGGTGGAGGTCAGAGTGTTGTGCCAACAGCGATGTGGTGTCTTCTGGCAGATGCCACGTGGGACAGTGCCTGGCATGGTGCTGGGACCGCAGACGTCCTCGGCGGGCCGGTGCCTGGCTGCTGCAGGTGCATGGCACTCACAGAGCAGACGCTGTCTCGTGCCAGGCGAGTCCCCCGTGGTTTTGGACACGTGACGCCCCCAGCAGGCCCCTCTCGTGAGCTCTCGGCTCTGAGCGCTTTTCCGTTCATTCCTTGTGAACGTCTGGGCGTTTATCACTTCAGTCGTGAACTGATTTTCAGCCCCTGAACCACTCCTTGAGCAGCCTGACTGGTGGAGGAGAAGTTGTGCCCGTGGGCCTTCCGTGTGCCTGGAGGTCTCCCATGTGCATGGAGGTCTCCTGTGGGGGCTTCCGTGTGTGTGTGCATGGAGGTCTCCCATGGGGGCTTCCGTGTGTGTGTGTGTGTACATAGAGGTCTCCCATGGGGGCTTCTGTGTGTGTGTGTGTGTGTACATAGAGCTCTCCCATGGGTGCTTCTGTGTGTGTGTGTGTGTACATAGAGGTCTCCCATGGGGGCTTCTGTGTGTGTGTGTGTGTGTGTGTGCATGGAGGTCTTCTGTGGGGGCTTCCGTGTGTGTGTGTGTGTGTACATAGAGGTCTCCCGTGGGGGCTTCTGTGTGTGTGTGTGTGTACATGGAGGTCTCCTGTGGGAA